TCTTTGAAATCTGTGCTTCAAGATTTTTACTTTGGAAAATATATAATTTTAAAATAAGCACATTTTTAACTTTCTGTATGTTACTGATAAAAATACCCAGTTAAAAAGGTATTGAGTTTAATATATCACTACTTTTCTTCTGTTTTTATCATATTTTTTAAAAAAATATTTGATATACTGAACATTGTGCAATATATATCATTACATTTGTCTTTTAGCCCTATTTAACATATTATGAGATCAAAATATTTATATTTTGATCTTCAAAGTGTTTTCAATAAGAAATATAAAAATTGTTTTTAAACTTAAAATTGTTCTTTAATAAATGAGCATTAAAATTATTCACTTTTTTACTGATAAAAACTACCACGAGGATTATCTAATAATTTCTCTTAAGCCAAATGGTTTGCTACAGAAGAATATATTATTATTTTGTTGATACACTCAAACATTTGACTGCATAGAATTCTTTTCTATCAGCTTAACTTGCCTAAAGCATAGAACATGAAAGTATAATTTTTTATGAAAGTATAATTTTAAACAATTTGAAAAATAATATAAAAGCTTTCTAGATGAAAACTGAGTATCCGATGTCCCTCCATTTGACAAATTGTGTGCCACATACATGTTAATAAATAAGTGAAAATAAAGTGGTAACTCAGAAAAGCAACTAAGTTAAAATAAAATGTGATAAAATGTACTGCTACCTCAAGCAATACAATTTAATATACTCTAGGTAATGATGTTAGTTCATTATTTTCAGTATGTAATTAAGGTGCACCAAACTATTATAATTTTATTCTCATAAATTTAGACTTGAAAGATAGTAAAAAACTAAAGAAGTTGGAGGGATATTATTCAAAAGTAACTAATTTGATAAGTTTATTTACTATTTTCACATATATTGTATTATTTGAGTCAATTAAGTATTCCTGACTTCTAGTATTTACACTGTTTCTTTTGTTGTTTTAAATTTCTCTTTCTTAATGTAAAATTTATTCTTAAAATTAGTTTTACTTAATATTCTGCAATCACTGTAAATGTCTCAATTTGGAGCTATCTAAAAAATGTAGCAAGAGAATATTTCTGAATGAATGGGAAGTGTATCTGTGATCTGCTTTAACTTCATAAATTTGGAGTTATGTGACTTTGTGAACAATCTATTGAGTTCTTGAAATAAACTAGCTAGTTTTTGGCATTTCAAACAAGGACTTAACTATTCTCATTCTTCTCTTTGCCCTATTGAAAAATTATGAAAGGAGAGGACAAGAATAGAGGAGATTTGAAAGATGGAGGGAGTGTTATGTGGGGATCCTCAGGGAATAAAGGCCTGCGGTTAGAAAAAAAATCAGGGAAAGATTATTATCCATATTTAATTTGAGCATTTTTCTAAAAACATAGTAACAAGGGATAGATAGGGCTAGAGACTATGTGAAATTAGCGTCTTATGTTCTAACCCTTTCTACATCATATACAAACAATTTTATTGACACTCATTTAATTTTTATATAGAGGTTAAAAGAATAGTGATGAAAGGAGACTAAAATAGCCATGATATTTGCCCAAGATTTTCATCTATGTGTGTAAAGGTGATCACAGAGCTTAAACAAAAGATGTTCTCCAAGTAGGAAAATTATGCTAGAGTTGATTAGCTCATAACTTCAATCAACATTCTAGTTGTAAATGATTTTGAATATCAGCATACAAATTATCTGTATTTGCATGAAATATATTTATTTTCTGAAATAATTTAAATATTTACACTACAAATACATATAGTTAAAAAGATTCTATATCATTTATCTTCAAATACACTGGGATGAGATTATGCAACACGTCAAACAGAACAAGCACAGAGAAGAAGTTTAGTTAGCATCCACATTTTAACTGATACCCTCAAGCATTACATATTGTGACTCTCCAAAATTCGATGGCAAGAGTTTGAAAAGTTTCTTAATCCAATCCTATACCACTCACAAAGCCCAATTGCATTATACTCTGTGAGCAACCTGAAAATCAAAATTCAAATGTTTAAAACCACACGTCTTATTCTTGATGTAAATGGTAAATATAATGGCAGTGCACAAAGTACAGAAAGAGAAATTTTGCTTTTAATTCAGTATAAGTTTATGATGACATATCTTAATTTTTAGTAGTTTATTATGGCAAGAATTTATTCTAATACTTTTAGTACTGTTGGTGAAATATTTAAAAAGTATAAACTGACTCATTTCATAAATCATATAATTACCATTTTGAGACAAGAACCATTGAGTGCTAGAGAGATAATACAGCAGGTAGGGTGCTTGCCTTGCATGTGCTGACCACGTATTTATTCCCAAGCATCCATATGGTCCCTCAAACACTGCCAGGAGTAATTCCTGAGTGCAAGTTCAGGAGTAACCCCTGAGCACTGCTGGGTGTGGCCCCCAAAGAAACAAAAAACCCAAAAAATAAACAACATTTTTATTTTTAAAAGAACCATTGAGCACCTTAGGAAATGCAGAGAAATAAAGAAACCACTTAAAGTGTTTATATGATAAGTCTGTGTGAAATAGTGCTATAAATCTTTGAAAAATATATCAATGAACTTACTTTGGAAACCACTCATATTCTCTAGACTTACATATTTAATTACATGTAATTCATTTATCTCTTATTTTCCGGCTTTAATATAGAAATTAAACGTATATGTTCGTTACATAGAAGATATCAATTAACATTAAATATTATAATTTAGATATTGTGATATCTATATTAACAAGACTGGAATGATTTTGATGTTTTAGAAGAAAAGTAATTCCCATTAAGAAAGAATGAATAGCAACCCCCAAGTAAAGTAAAACACTGGCGTTTATTTTTCTCTTCTAAACCTGGATCAATTATGGAGGTAGATGAAGATTAAGAGACAGTTTTTTTTTCATGATAATATCATGACTTTTTAAGCTCATTCTTTTCCCTTTGAAGCAGTTTTTGAAAGGGAAAATGTTACCAAGGATAGGGATAGTTTACTTCACTTGGCCAACATAATACCCCCCTCCTTTTTTTTAATTCCTCAGGGAAACTGTTACCACCTGTTCAATCTGAATTCAAGCAGTTACTGTCAATTTACTCATGGGTGAATGCTGCCTCTTTGTGGCAGACTGCCATGGAAAGTGTTCCTTAAACATTAAGTTCACAAACAGACTTTGAGAGTGTACACATTCCAGGTGAGATGAGGAGGAGTTCCACCAATGGTAATGAAGCACTCGATTCTGGACATTTCTGATACCTTGAAACATTTCCAGCCTTATCTACTAGTCTAAATGCACAGGCAACTCTTACCCAGAAGCAAAATGATTTACATCCACCAATATTTTGATCATTTAGGATATGGATTGCCTAGATAGTGAGAAAGACTCCACCAAAACTGTTGAAGGTGCTTTACACCAGTCAAATACGAAAATTATGAAAAGTGGTAGGCAGAATAAATAATACTGACACAAACAAAAACAAATAAAAATGAGAAAAATATGAATATGCAATATATTACTTACCATGCTCCATGTGTTAGTTGAATACTTCCGTAAGAAAACAAGTATACAATTGAAATTTCACTAATTAACACAATAAATGACACACTTAAAAAACATAGTTCCCTGAACCAACAAAGTCATGATTATATATATATGTATATATATATTTTAAAATTGATAATTAGGGAAAAGATTTTATATAAGGAATAAAAGCTACTTTGTCCTAAATTGGCAATAATGGAGACTCACTCACACATAGCTAGATCTTTTGCATTTTAAGTAATCATTACTTCAATCCCTCATATTTGACATAGTTATCAAGTGTTTATTCAGAAACTATTTAAAAAATTACATGTGCTGGGATACATATGAGACTGTAACAATAGTAGCCCCATCTTACAGAGATCCTGTTTGTGGTTATCATCATTGCTTGCTGCCCAGAGTGATAAAGACATTTGTATAGAGATTTGTACAGTCCATCATTTGGTCTTCTGAGGTGCCAGTACACGTGGATCTGTACAAATGCAACTGGGTTTGGTTAAACAATCAAAAATCGGCTACAATAGTAGTCAAATCAATACATCATTTTGGTTGACTAATAAAAATACTTTTAAGTCTTTTCTAATAAAATCAAAAACTTGCACACGATTCTCACTCAAATGGCCCAATTGATTGCCCTATTTTTTTTCCTTTAATACATTGGGATACAATCAGTTTTATTTAAATACATATCCAATCGGGTGGGTGGATTGCATTGGCTTTAAGTTCTCTATGTTTTTAATGACTTCTAGTGCCTTTCTGATATCACTTCCTTTGTGGAAATGCATCTTCAAATATAGTGGACACCTCTGTGAAAATCATAGGCTAAGTAGTGAAGGAAAGAGAAATGCTAAATGTGCATATAAAAATAGGCGCTACAATAAAATATTTGTATATTTCATCAATAAGTTATTTTGACTAATCAATTATGGATCATATAGCTCTGTAATTTTAATGATTTGTCCACATCTATGGTGATCCCTTGAAAGATCACAATACTTTTGCTTTTTAATTTCAAATGTCCAGAATGCATACAAACACATCCTTTAAAAAGAAAGGAGAGAACAGGGAAGGGAGGAAGACAGGGGAACAAGAAAACAGGAAACTGGAAGGGAGTGAGGGAGATGGAGAGATAGAGGGGGTAGAGAGATAGCAAGGGAGGGAGAGAGGGAGAGATAGGGAGAGGGAGAGAGACAGAGAGAGAAAGAGAGAAAGACAGAGAGAGAGAGAAAGAGAGACTTCCTATTAAACTTGGGGTGTGTCAATCTCTTCACAAAAGCCTTTAGACCCACCCGTGGCTATAAGGGGGACAGGAGCAAAAGAGAAAGAGTGGAATCTATGCACTCCCACCTTGCATCTTTCTTAGCACTTCAGCCCGCCACAAAAAACGTCTGGGACCTTTAACAAGTCACCGGCGCGCAGCAAACTGCCCTCCCTAAAGCCCTTCTCCTCTCCCGCCTCCCCCCACCCCCACACACGCAAGAAGAGAAAGCGATGTGCCCAATTTACACAAATGTTTCCCGCGTGGAAAATTAAAAGGAAATTGCACACCCTTTCAGTATCTTCCGCCCGAAGCTGAGAATCTAGTGCCAAGGCACTTCACCCTAAACGTTGAAACAACGCGATTAATCAACTGCTTTCACTGTCTGTGTCTGCTCGCTCTCTCGCTTGCACTGCAAAAGCTCCCAAGGAGTTTCTTTGCTGTTTAGAACTGGCTAAATGTGGTCTGTTTCTCCAGCACTTCGAGGTAGTCCGGCTCAACGTTTAGTTTTGCTTTTAGCTCCAGATACTCGTTCCGGTTGGGTTCTACAAAGACAGCACTGGGGGGGCTGTAGAGCACCGGTTCCCGCAGCCTGCTGTCCCCCGGCCCCGGGTGCAAATACTGATGGGGGCGTCTCAGGTCATAGTTGGGGGAGAAAGTGTAAGCAGCGGGGCTGCACGGGAATTTGGGATATTCCGGGAGGCTGCTGCCGGCGGGGGTGCTGGAGCAGTGCTTGTCTGGTTCTAAAATGCCCCTGTAAAAGCGATCGGCGTCCTGCACCGGCGCCAGCAGGTCCTCCCGGGGCTCGATGGTGCTGACGCTGTAGGCCGGGCTCCGCAAGTGGTGGCTTTCCCGCCTGTCATCGTCGCCCGGCTGCAGCTGCAGCTGCGGCGGGGGCTGCTGCTGGGGCGGCGGCGGCGGCGGCGGCGGCGGTGGCGGCGGCTGCTGCAGGTGGTGGTTGCCGCCGTAGGTGACCTTGAGCTCGTGCAGGTCTTTGTAATCCTCCACCGAGTTGCCCTCCCGCGAGCGGTAGATGGGGTTCTTGCACATGTGGCCCAGCGGGTGCGGGATGTACTCGTACACGTGGCCCGCGGGGGTCTTCACCTTGGGCAGCGCGGGCCCGCGGTGGTGCACGTGCGCGTGCGGGTGGGACCCCGCGCCTCCGCCGCCGCCGCTGCCGCCCCCGCCGCCGTACACGCTGTACTGCATGTTGAAGGAACTCACGTCGGAGTTGTTGGTACTCGTGGGGTCGCTCTGGTTCTTCTTCCGCCGCTTCATCACCAGCACGAAGAGCCCGGCGGCCACGAACACGGACATGATGAAGACCAGCAGCAGGCTGAGGATCAGCACGGACAGCGGCACGGACGACGCACCCCCTTGGCCCGCGCCCAAGCCCGCTGGGGCCCCGGTGCTGTTCAAGCGCACGGTGGGCGTCACGGCGCTGGTCCTGGCCGGGACCTGGATGGACGAGGGCGTGGGCGTGGACACCACTACGTCCGAGTAGTCCGGACACAACAGCTCGGACTTGAGGGCGCGCATATCCATCTCGGCAAACTTCTTGGGCGCCTTGCAGATGACCTCGTCCACGAGCACGCCCACCTTGAGCTGCTCCACCCACAGCTTCATGCCCACCACGTCGCAGGTACAATCCCAGGGGTTGTCGTGGAGGTCGATCTGGATGAGGGCCTTCAGCTGGTCCAGGACGCCGCTCACGGGCAGGGAGGTGAAGTGGTTACTCCGCAGGTTGAGCCGCAGGAGGGTCAGGCCAGAGAAGACGCCCGATGGCATGGCCTGCAGCAGGTTGTTGTTCAGGAAGAGCAGCTGGAGGTTGGGGACGGGATCGAAGGTCCCGGACTGGATCTCGCGGATGAGATTGTACTGGAGGAAGAGATACTGCAGGCTTTGCAGGCCATAGAACAGCTCCGGGCTCAGCCTCTCGATCCGGTTGCCATTCAGGTAGAGGCGCCTCAGGTTGGTGAGATCCCCGAAGGCGCGGTCCTGGATCACGGAGATGCGGTTGTTGCCCAGGTGGAGCAGGTCCAGCCCCGTGGCCTCCAGGAAGTCGCTCCTGCGCACCAAGGCGATGTAGTTCTCCGTCAGATACATCTTCTTGGGGTTGTAGGGCTTGGGCTGCAGCTCGGAGATGCTCTCGATCTTGCGCTCCTGGCAGTTGACGTTGAGGCCCAGATCGGAGATTTGCAGGTTGCAAGTGCACGCAGTGGGGCACTCCAAAGGCACCGGAGATTTGGTCTGGTAGGCGATGCTGGGGCCATAATTGCTGTAGCCCAGGTCCTTGGCGGGCTGCCTAGAGGTGGGGCGCACTCTGGGCTTGTTGGGTTGGCGAGTCCCTTTCGGGGGCTTGAGGGGGGGTTTGTAAACAGCAGAGGAAGAAGTGGCCACCGAATTCACGGAGGCTGGGGTGGTGTGTAAGTACCCCGTGGTGCTCAAAGGCGTCTGCGGCCTCATCTCATAGTCCGAAATGAGTTTCCTGGGGCAGAGTTCCTGCTTGGACACCTCGTCCAAGTCTCGGCCATGTAAGCGGAAAGGGGTCTCGCAAACCACATCCCCCACCAGGGCCGAGTAGGAGATGCTGTCCAACCAATCCTTGAGGGAGATAAGCTCACAGGAGCAATTCCAGGGGTTTTCCTCCAGCTGGAGCTCCACAACTTTATCCATGTGCTGCAACAAGCCCACATAGGGCAAAAGTTTCAGCCGGTTTCCCCGCAGGTCCAAGTGCGTTAAGGGCACAAAACGGAAAAGGTTGTTGGGTAAACTGGACAAGAGATTGTCATTAAGGATAAGCACCTGCAACAAATGCAGTTTCCCAAAAGCATTGGGCTCAATGACACTGATGTAATTGTAATCGACCTGTAGGTACTCCAGGCTTTCCAAGCCAAGGAAGGTGTCATCACGCAGAAGTTCCAGTTTATTGTTGTTCAAATGCAATCTCCTTAAACCGTGTAGCCCATGGAAAGCCCCTGTCTCTATATCCTGGATGACATTACTACCCAGATGCAGAATCGAAGCCCCAGTATAATTGACAAACTCATTGGGATAAAGACGGCTCAAAAGGTTTCCAGACAACAAGAGGTGGTAGATGGGGAACCGAGGAGGACTAATTTCAGAAAGGCTGATGATTCCCCGGTTTTCACAGCTCACAGTTAAAATGCCGTCCTTTTCCTCACAAGGACATGCATTGTCACAGATTTCCCCATAATAATCGATGGTTTCTGCACACGAAAGGACGAGAGATGTTAGAGCAAAAGCTAGAGTCTGCAGCATCCAGCTATGCATTTTTCTGTGAAGGTCCTGTTCCAAAGTTACTGGGGGCCAGCAAGTGTGCATTTTACCTCCTGCAAGGGGAAGGGGAGGAAAAACAAAAACAAAAGGGAAATGATAGGATGTGACAAAAATGTCAGGGATCACTCAAAGTCTCTGAAATTCAGGAGAGAATAAAAATGACAACCCCTGCCCCCATGGCACATCGCCATCCTCCGGACTTTATAAAAATCGGACATTCATTTGGATTTAAAGGTGGATATAATTTCCTAATGGACAAAACTGGTACATGCTGCTCTGTACAAGAAAAGGGCACGTTGCACAGTCCCATTTTAATATTCTTCCCAGCTCCATGCCCCCCCTTCCAAAACCAATCCATAAATATACATAAAATGGCTGTCAGTTCAGTTCCATGGTTCTAATTTAAGAGAAAAGCAGCACCATTTTACAAGTTTCCTCACCTCATTCTATACCCGGCCCCCTCTTTCTTCCAGAACCTCTTCTTAATAGTTCACCGGGAAGAAGCCCCCGTTTTCACAGAGAAGGAAGGAGCCACAATACTTGGGCTATTTTAAACCTGGGCTGGAAACGCCAGGGTGGGAACCTAAAGCATACTTTTCAAAGGCAAAAAGGGGTGGAATGAAAAAGCATCAAAAGGACCCCAAAGAAGCTCTTAAATCACCAATTGTCTTTCAGGAGCTTTGAATATGAAGAGAAAAGGGAAAGCGCCTTTGCTTTGATGGTGGACTTCACTGCCACGTTATTAAGCACATCAGCGTCTTAATTGCATGCACGATGCCACTTAGCAGCGCTTTCCCGAGAGCGCCCAGTGTCCACTTCGCATTGATCATGTCAGCGACGCGGCCAAACCGCATCTTTAAGCCACTGAAATAGTTCTGCACGATAGATTACAAAGAACTCAGCGAAGGCATCCGCAATCCCGGAGCACCTCCCGGGTACCTGGAGTTTAAAGAGGACGGATCACCTCTTACCAAGAACCAGCTCAAAGTAAAAGCAAAGGCAAGCGCCCAAGCCGCCCTTCCTAAGGCGCCGCCGCCGTGTGCCATTATTTGCAGAAGCAAACCCTACCGAATTAGTAATAACCAACCGGACTGATAGCATCTCGCCAGAATACCCAGCTCTGGAGTTGCTTATTAAATTGACTTGCCAATGCTTTAGTGCCCACCCCACACCCCTCTTTATTTGGTTTCCTTGAGGTAAGGGCATTTGGTCTGGTTGAGAGACAAATAGAACGGTGAAGGGGGCAGGGACAGCAAGTGCGAAAGGTCAGTGCTTTGATATCCGAATTTCATCTCTCCAAGGAATCACCCCACCTCCCCCTTAATTTCTTGCATTCTTTTTTTGTCCCTTTAAAGGCTTCTGTCCGCTTCCCACTTTGGGTCGACAGCCAGCACTCTAGAGGAAAGGGCAGAAATGGAGTGTGTGTGTGTGTGTGTGTGTGTGTGTGTGTGTGTGTTGCATGGGGGGAAGGGGCTGCATTTGTTACAAACGTGGGCTTCCGGAACCCATTCCTTTTCATCTGGTCACCCTTGCCTTTGCCTCGCCACCACCAAAGTCTGATGTCGAATCACCACCCCAAACTAAAGTCAAGACGTTTGAGTCACGGGTTCAAGCCTGGAGACCTGGATTTTGATCCTCAAGCCAACTCCCGCCCGCATCAAAAGCCCCTGCGCGCGCACACACACACACACGCACACACACACGCACACACACACGTGCAAGGCTGCCGAGAATCACGTTCACGTGTGGTCTCCCAGACGTGTGGAGACGAATCGGATTCACTGGGTAGAAGCCTCGCCAAGATCCCCGACCTCCCGACGCAACTGCAAACGCCTGCCGGCTTAAAAAGCCGCACCGACACCCCCGATGAAAGCAAAACGTTTACCTTGAATTTTAGCTTCTCGGCGGGATCAAATCTGCACATCCATTCAGCAGGGGTTGGGGTCCCCTCCCCCACCCTCCGGTGCTCTCCCGCCCCCACTCACCTCCCACCCCTCCTATCAGCCCATGGCAAAAATGTGTCCAGCCGGTTTTCAACTCGAGCGTTTACAACTTTAATTCACTTCTGCTTGGCCAGGGTCGAAGAGCTTCCTCTCACCCCACTCCCCTTTCCCTCCTTCTTGCCATTAAAGACACCCGAAAATCGGAGAAAATAAAGTTGAATGAGCCACGGAAGGCTGGCATTCGGACCGGCAAACGCACCTCCGATGGAAAATCGTGGGTGCGCCGCCGCACAGACTCGGATTAGCAGGGGTGGGGGGAGCGAAAGCGGGGGCGGGGGCCTGGTACTTGCCCCCCACCCCGACAGCCACCCCCCCAAATTTGATTCTGGATCATCGCCCTGCACAGCCCTGCAGGAAGCAGCTCGCGGGTTCCGCGGGTGAGAACCCCGCACCCAGGCCGGCCCCCGCGGCGGCTCGGGGCGCAGCTGCTAGTACAGCGGCCCAGGCAGAAGCACCCGGAGTTCCAGGGCGCAAGGCTCCCCCTCCCCCACCCCGCCCCAAAGCGAAGGATGGGAAAGGGGGAAGAAGGCGGGGAGGGAGGTGAGGGGAAAGCACCCCGCGCCACACACACACACACACACACGCACAGGCACACGCACACGCAGAGTCTTTCTGCAAAGTAAAAGGCCGACTTACCCCGTGTCCAATCTCCAGGGCCCACTAATCCTAGCCACCCTTTGTAAAATAAAAGCACCTATTTTTTTTGGGGGGGGGGAGGTGCGCCGGGATTCGGGAGCACTAGAAGCCGGGCGAAGTGGCCGCCACCAGTGAGATCCGAACGATCAGAGCAAAAAGGCGCCGGGACGCGCCACCAGCCCGGGGCCGCCGCCGCGGTGGCGACCGCGGGTGCCGGGGCTCCCCCAAACGGCTCTCCCCGGCGCTCTCCGCGGTAGTCGGAGCGGGCAGCGGGGTTGGGGGGGAGGGAGAGGGGGGCGATCGCGAGCCGCGGGCTGGGAACGGGTGGGGGGGAGGGGAGGCAGAGGAGCGGCCGTGCCCGGGGGCCGGAGCCGGGTGGGGTTGGCCTGGGATGCTGCCGGCGGGGCCGGGGAGTGGGGGGGAGGCGGCGCGGAGCCCCGGCGGGGGGACCCGGCGCCCCGCAAACCGCGGGCCCCGCCAACGTGCCCGCCAGCCCCGCCGAGCGCTCCGGCCCCAGCCCGCGCTCCTCGCACGCTCGCTCCAGCCCGCCGCCGCCGCGCCAGCCCGCGCCCCCCGGGCGGGTACTTACAGTTGCCATCTGCACGGGGGGCAACTTTGTCCCAGCCGGGAGCCGGCCGCCGCCCCCTCCAGCCGCCGCCGGCTCGTCGCGCCCTCCCCTCCCCCCGCGGCTCTGCTCCACGCCGTCCTCAGCACATTCCCCCCTGGTCAGCGGCGCACGCCCGGGGCCAAGCCGGAGGCAGCGGGGCGCGGGGGGTGTGCGTGCATCGCCCGCCTTCTTCTTGCAGCGCACGCTGTACATGGTAGTGAGGGGGCGAGCGCAGGGGGCCCCGGCCCCTCGGCGGCTCCCGCGGCCGCTGCGGCTCCCGCGCCGGGCTCCGTCGTCCGCCCCCCGCGCGCGCGGTGTCGACCACCGCCGCGCCGCTGAGTCCCCGCGCCCGGCCCGCCGCCACGGCCGCCGCAGCCCGGAATAATCAGTCCCAGATCGGCTCCCGCCGCCTCTCGGCCGCCGCTGGAAGGGCTTTTTCGCTCTCCCTTGCCCAGATGCCGCGGACGATCGTCATGATTTGGAACTCTCCAGCTCCGACCTCCTTCGGGGGGCCGGAGGACGAGGAGGAGGAGGAGGTGGAGGTGGAGGAGGAGGAGGAGGAGGAGGTGGAGGAGGAGGAGGAGGAGGAGGAGGAGGAGGAGGCGGAGGAGGGGGGGCAGGAGCGGCGTTGTTCTACGCCTGTGGCGCGTCCCAGCCGTCCCGCGCCTCGCCCCAAACTCCGAGAAAGTGGCGTCTTCCCTCCCCGCTGCCGAGGAGGTGGCACAGCGGTGAGCATGGCATGGGGCTCCGAGGCCTCGGCTGCCCCCCCCCAGAGTCGGGGCACTTGTTTAAGGAGGGGCGGCCGGGCCGGGCCGAGCCGCTGCAGACATGATGCTGGGCCGGGCCGAGACGCGCGCGGCGGCCGATAGGTGGCAGCCGCGGGCGAAGGCGGCCCCGGGTTCGGGCCGCGGCGCCTCCGGAGACCCCCTCGGATGTCACAGCAGTGGGAGACAGAGGAGTCTTGGACCATGTACGTAAGGCGAGCGTGGGACCGTGCAAGCCTCGGCTGGGGAGGATAAAACAAAAAAAAAAAAAAAAGGGAGGAGTGAAAAACTCCCCGACAGCGCCGGGCGCAGGGCTGCCTCCGTGACAGACGGTCGCTGGCCAGCGCCGCTCGCCCGCCGGCCTCCAGCCTCTGGAGCATCTCGCACCCCCAGCGGCGCAGGCTCGGGTACTTACTGTCAGGACCCTGCAGCAGGGAGTGGTTCAGCCTAGCTGCAGATCCCGGGGAGCTCGTCTCGGGTTGGCGATTTGTCGGTGTATGGGCTGACCGGCCAAGGCCAGGTGAACGACTTTCAGAGACAGTGTTTGTGACTCCTGTGGCTGTGCACTCCAAAAGCTGGACATCCCTACCAAATAAAAGCACTTTCCCTAGGATGCGAGTTTCCTGAAGAGTCACCTGCTAGCGTCATCTATCCAGTAAGTATCCCCGGCTCTTTCCATGAAGTCAGACCCCTGGGTCCACGAAAGAGGGTCTCTCCGTGCCAGTAGTCTAGTGTTGGTGATGTTAGACCTGTTAGTGACTCTCGGGTCTAGGAAAAAGTTATTCATAGTAAGGAAGTGGTCCAGCATTGTGGATTGGCACATATGGGTCGCTTCCTTTGCTAACTGGGAACTTGAAGCAGGTAAATCTATTTTATACGTTTTTCTTTGTATTTACGTAGTATCCTTTGGAATCGTCTCAAACATCATTGGTGTTGTCTCCGTATTATTTGGGAGAGTAGTATAGTATCTTTATGGTATCAGTATAGTATCTTTATTAAAGGTAGATTCTCATACAGGGTGATCTCTCAAGTTTCTACAACTACAAAAATGTTTCCAAATTCTCTATGCATATTGGAGTTTTTAAAATAGAGGTGGTGAACTTTGTGATGACTTCGATTTTGCAAAAGTTTGTGAAATTTCCTTTAAATCGTCTGTTGTTCAACTATTTTTATTTCCTTGAAGTTAAGTTTTACATCGTTTGAAAACTAGTTTCTTTTGTTGAAATTCAAGGCATATTCAAGACAGGGAAGAAAGAAGCAATGTGTAATAGGAGATAATAAAAAACAAGATCTGATAATAAACATTTCTGATGATTTGAAAAGTGTTTGACCTAGTAATGTAGCTACAAGTTATATTATATAAACATACACAAGTGAAATGCCATCCACATAAGGTTTATCATTGTATTTTTATCTAGACATTATCTTATACCAAGATATTAATGGTCTTGAAAATTTTGATACAAATTAGTTTTAGTATTTTCAAAATGGAAGTGTTAAAATGTTATAATTTGAGATACCATGCTAATTACATCCAAAAACTTTTGGTGGATAATTATTGAGTCTGTTCAAAGCATTATTTTAGCTTTTTACAAATTATTTAAAATTCTGAAGGAAAATAAAATGATTATGTCAATGAACTTCTCAGGAAAATATAAATATGACTATTTTGTTTCCTTGTATTTTCTACATCTTCACCATTGCATTTAACATCACATTTTAGTTTAATTTTGGTTTATACAATTTAAAAATATAGAATTAAAATAAAATTCGACAATATAAGAAGTATTAAGAATACTTGCGATTAATCTAGGTTATTGATTTGTTGGAAACATTCACACTAAAAATATATTAGCAAGACTGACACTAAAAAAATATTCCTTCACTATCCATAAAAAGATAACAACTTTCTTCCATTAATTCAGCTGTTGAGGAAGGCCTAAGAAGCTGCAGTTAGCATTGACCACTAGGTGTCTCTGTATGCTTCTCTGCAGGAAAGTGAATTTTGAGAAATTAATTGACAAGAAGAGTCTAGAACACACAAAAAAAAATCATAGAAATTAGGAAAGTATTATTTATTAGACTGTGAAGTCTTAATTGCTTTCAATATTTACTACTGCATAGAAAAAGTTAAATAAATTATATAACTATTACTAAAATTATTAAGTTTTATCCACAAAAGCACATTTATTAATGTGTTAGTCTAAACTACTAACAATATGTAGTCACATGGTGTATATTGGCATACATCCTGTCATATAATTACTAAATAAATGCACGAGAACTAGAGAATGTAAGCTAGAGAATAAAATTCCTGATGATTTCTCAAAAATTAAGATCATGAATAATTAGACATCATTTGATCTGATTTACTTTGAAAGCCTGAATTTTGTCCAAATCTTTGTTAATATATTTATGCAAATTATGATCTTATATAATATTTGGCCATAATTTATGCTTGTATATTACATTTAAAATTCAAATAATAATTAATATAAATATGCATCTGATTGTAAATTGATAATACACTTTGTGAATTAAAATCATACCTCTATAAACACTTTGGGGCCTCATCACATGTATTAAAATTATCACAGCACATTAATTTGTGTATTACTGCATAACATTATGATACTTTAGTACTTTATAATATTACAATGCTTACTTAAGACTTATAATCCCACATTATGAAATCCAACAGACTGTATAAATAAAGTGTTATTAATTATGACATTTTATTAAGTCTATGAGCATCATTGAAATCTAAATCCATGATATATGTATGTTACCTTGATTGGTTAGTTAAGATGGTATAATTCTGATGCTGTAGTTCAGATCTCTTCAAAATTAGGTAAAATAATTTACTCTGTGATTGAATTAGCTAAATCAATAAAACTATTTAATTTTACCTTTTAAAAAAATCTGACTTGCTTTGAAGTCTGCACAACTAAAATGATATAGAACACATATCTTCAAAGGAAGAAAGTTTATCCTGGGAGAGAAAGCATGAGTCATCAGTTTTCAATAGTTTCTATGCAGTTGCTAAATAGAATAACATGTGGCATATGTGTTATAGTATATCATATAACATATTTTTTGATCATATTGATAACACTTGGAATATAAGGATCAGTTATACTTTGTGGCCATATTTATCAAATCTAACATGGCCAACTGGACTGATGAACTTCATGGAGATTTATGCATTTAAAGATTTAATTATCTTAGAAACATACTTCACAGTTATTAAAGAAAGATATGTATAGAACAGAATATAATATTCCTTGTTCAATAAAGTTCCTTATGAACACCCTATGATATTCTTTTGACAGAATTATATATTAAAATACCTATTTCAGAGGATCAATTAGGAATTCTTACTCAAGCTTGAAGTGCTTATAGTGTTTGAATAATTACATTTTTAGAAAACAGTCTACAGGTATACCAAAGTAATATGTACAAAACTTGAATGTAGTCCTTGTGACAGAACCTTTGCATTTGTGAATGAATAAAAACAGCCCATATATATTTTAAATGAGATTGATACATATTCATATTATAATGGAAGACTATTTTATGACTTTAGTAAGGAAAGAAAAAAGACAGAAGAAAAAAGAAAAAGAAAGAAAAGGAAAGAGAGAAAGAGGAAGGAAGGAAGGGAGGGAGGGAGGGAGGAAGGAAAGAAGGAAGGAAGGAAGGAAGGAAGAAAGGAAGGAAGGAAGGAAGGGAGGGAGGGAGGGATTATTCTTAGGACAAATAGATTCATAAATTCAGTAAATTGGTTGTCTCTTGGGAAAAGACTGGAGAGTTTTCAATAGAATGGAGATTTACATTCATCATAATTCTGTTTCTATTATTTTCTCAGAAATTTTCAATTTACATGCATATATTTAATAATTTCAAAGTAAAACATATACTTGAATGTAAGGACGGTATTTAAACAAATGATATAGTATGTGATGAGTTATAGATTATAATTTTTCCAAATTAATCTTTGTCCCATAGTTATAAGAATTATTTTAATTTTTAGGCCACATTCTACTAATGGAGATACTGAATTTTTTCAAATAAATGTATGCAAATAAATTGTTATTTGTAATGACTTCTAAATGGACATTCAATTCTGGGAGCTATTATTTATGGATAGAGTATTAACTGGCTCTAACTTTATTTCCACAATATGGAATTATATTTGTCTGGTAGATGAGGAGAAAGAACAAAATGATTCTGTAGATAAGTGATTATACTTGAAATTGTCAGCAGCAGATCTTTATTGCTATCTGCAGGAAAATGAGTGAATGCTTAATTGTGACATATTTAAAATATACAAATTATCATCACGCCCTGTTAGAACCAAGGCTGATGCCATCTGGCTTATACTTGCATTACAATATGCATGTTGCACTGCATAAAAAAGGCAATTTCATTATAAAGCTAGATTAACTTTTCTGTGCATCTTTCTATTAGAGCTATAATTGGTCTTGGGATCCATTGATTCTGAGTTTC